AACCAGGTAGAGACTCAAAATAACCACAGAGACACAAAAAGAACAAAAAAGACAAACCTCAATAAGACACAAACTTACTTAAAGGGATAGTGCACCCAAAAATGAAAATTCAGCCATTATCTACTCACCCATATGCCGAGGGAGGCCCTGGTGAGTCCTCACATCCCTTGCGGAGATCGGCGGGCGGAGCGGATAGCACACCTAATGGCAGACGGCGCCCCAGACTAACGTCCAAGAGCACAAAATTGAATCCACATAATATCTCCATACTGCTCATCCATAGTGATCCAAGTGTGCTGCAGCTGCGACATAAAAAGTTGTTTCGATAAAACGTCATATGAACTCTGTTTTTAGCCTCACTGTAGCCTGTAGCTCTGACTGCTTCTCTGGGCTCCGCGCTCACGTGTGCACGCCTGCGCGAGACCAGCGAAAGCATGAGCTTTGCTCGCCCGTGTTTACATCACATGACACGTGCACCGCAGGGGGAGACAACGGTAGCCACAGTTGCTAAAAGATAATTTGCACTACGGTCTTTTAGCAAAGGACAGCCCAACATGTCTGAAGACTTTGAAATTGAGGAGGAACAGCATTTCTTTGTTGAGCCGTATTTGTTTGAGCCCGAGTATACGGACGGAACTCAGGCTACTGGACGAAGCAGCCGCCGCAGCTCATGAGCCTAACCCTCAGCCAGCCGCAGAGCTACAGGCTACAGTGAGGCTAAAAACAGAGTTCATATGACGTTTTTCGAAACAACTTTTTATGTCACAGCTGCCTGCAGCACACTTGGATCACTATGGATGAGCAGTATGGAGATACTTTGTGGATTCAATTTTGTGTTCTTGGACGTTAGTCTGGGGTGCCGTCTGCCATTAGGTGTGCTGCCGTTCCCCCTGTTGATCTCTGCAAGGGATGTGAGGACTCTAAAACTTCACCAGGGCCTCCATCGGCATATGTGTGAGAAGATAATGGCTGAATTTTCATTTTTGGGTGCACTATCCCTTTAAAGGAGAAGTGCGGTATTTTGCACTTTGAGCCCCATTTCTGGGTTGTTTATAATGAAATAGAGTGGTTAAGATCAAAATAGTGACGACTGCTCATTTTCAAAGAATTTGGCTTTCCCCTGCCTGGCTTAACACTGCTGCCTATGGCCATGTGTGAACCTGTCCTAAAACCACCCTAAACATTTGTTTTCCAGCCATGAAACTAACAGAGTGGCCAGTGGTGTTTGTTGATGTTCTGACATAAGAATCGTAGCAAACTGTGGTTTCCATCCGTATTTTCACTATTCATCTCGACTGTGGAACTATTTTTTTCAGCTGCCTCACACACGTGTGTAATCTTCCACTTGATCGTTTGTTTGATCCTGAAGCGTTATACACTCCAGCCCACTTGATGGCGATAATGCTCCTTTACGTGGGTGTCACCAACTGGCAGGAAAACATTGCAATGAAATGGAGACACAGAAAAGAGGCAGAAGACGTATACTCAGGTTCAATCAGTAACCACAACCATCAAAATCAATTTCGAATGTGTCATCATCCAGAATCCACCTTTCAAAATCCATTGTGCAGTTGTTTAAACTTATTACAAAACGTTTTTGTTCATTCTCGTTCTTCCTCCAGGAGCGCACACAGCACTGTTGAGTCGGCACTTTTGCTGAGCTAAAAGACTACAATGACTACAACCTTGTCGTAAACAACCCCCTTTCCGGTTCCGGTGGTAGAGGCTTCTATAGAAAACCAATGGATTAGACAAAATGTCAAATGAATCATCATGGAAACCACAGTTTGCTACAATTCTTATGTCAGAACATCCAAGAACACCACTGACCACTCTGTGAGTTTCATGGCTTTGAAAACAAACATTTAGGGTGGTTTTAGGACAGGTTCACACATGGCCATAGGCAGCAGTGTTAAGCCAGGCAGGGGAAAGCCAAATTCTCGTCACTATTAACCTTAGTTGTCTTAACCACTCTATTTCATCATAAACAACCTAGAAATGGGGCTCAAAGTGCAAAATACCGCACTTCTCCTTTAAAGAGACCCAAACAACTATGAAAAGACACATAACAACCACATGGACACACAAAATGACCACAAAGAAATAAAGCCACAAAAAGATGCATAACAACTACAGAGTCTGTGTGACTTGTTTGTATGCAGGAGAGCTGGTGAGGCCCTTTGCATATCTGTGCCCAGGGGCCCATTGTCTGATAATCCACCCATATACAGGATATCTTAATATCTGTGAATTACATTTTCAGACAGGCCTCCTGGATCTTTCTACAGCCATCCACTGAGCCCTGCCTGTAGCTTTGACACCGTCCCAGGCAAAGCTTTGACCAGTTCGTTCCAAACAAAAGATTCAAATAAAAAACAAAACAATCAAACATGTTTCTTATCCAGAATTTCAAAGTTTTTGGACAGGAAAGCACTGATGCCGTGGCAGTAGCTCTTGTCCAGCCTGATGTTGACTATGCCTGCTGTTCATGGTACTATGGGTTAACTTCGTGCCTTAAAAACAGACTTCAGACTCATTAGGGTAGTTAGGGTTAACATCATCTCACCTCACCATGACCTGTCTCATTTTCACAGTCTTAGGAGGTGTAAAGTACAGGAAAGTGTCTCTCAGATAGAGCTGTGCATGGTGCATAAGATTGTAGACACTCTGATTGATTTTGTGTCTTGCATGTTCAAGAGTAAACTGGGGAAGGAAACTTTTGTGTATAGCCTATGGCAGTGAATCTGCATAGATTCTTAAAGTCATAAGCAGCTTGGGAAGTTTCAAGCTGGTGCTGAAGAATTGGCTAAGAGGATATTCACAGTAGGATATTATGTCTGATAACATGGTGTCTCCTTAGTTATTTTTCTGGTTGTGTATTTATGGATAATGAATAACAGTTAACTTGATGAACTGACAGTGTAGGCAAAGGTCACGATTGCATTGCATTGTATTATTGTTTTTATAATTAATGCTTTTGTGTTCCATTATTCCCATGTCAGATGTGCCATCTTGTACCCTTCACTTGTTCAACCTCCACCCCTCAATGGACCACAATGGAAATGAGCCTCAGACCTTTAATGTGTTATTCTGACCTTTTCTTTTATGTAAGCACTCACTGTCTTGAATGAATTAGTATTTTTCTTTCACAGAAATTAAATTGTCCATTAAAATCAAAGTCACACTTATGCATTCTTGGTCACCAGCTCTTTTCTGCATGCCCAGTCACCCAGCTCCCAGTCACCCTAGACTAGTGCCTCAGCACCAGTCATGCCCACCGCTTTAGGGCAACTCGGTTCACCTGTTCCTCATTACACACAGCTAGTATATGTACCCAGGCATCAAGGTCACTTGTTGCTAGATTGTTCTTTGCCACTCATGCAAGACTCTCTGTCATTTTGTGTTTAGAGACAGTTTCTCTGACCTCTTTGTGTTTCCACCATTTTCTCTGCTACTTAAGAAACTCTTAAGCCTTTTAGAAGTCCTCCTCCCTGCTCCTAACAGTGTTTCCCCTTAGGAGCTCCTTTAAGGTCTGAGATGCTTTGTGAATAACTTTTATCTTTACAAGGACCCAGTCTTAACTTTAAGGGGAAATTCTAAGAAAACGTCACAATTATAAGAATTTTCTGAGAATTTTGTCACTAGGAGCAGTTCTTAGTGCTAGGAAGCTTTGTGAATACGGACCCTGAACTGTATTGTGTGCTTTTCACTTGTCCTGCCCTGTACCCACTGGGTCATGATATTAACCATTATTACCAACTTTTTCTGGCTTCCTGTGTGCTGCAGTTGGGTCTTAATGCAACCCATTGAAATCAATCAATCAATCAATCAATCAATTAATCAATTGAACAGATTTTCTTGCTCATGTTGCATTCAGTTAGGACAAGTCTGATGATGTCTTGATGATGTCATTCTTTGTATGGCCTGCCTATCAGTTGTTTTTCAGCTTAGAGGGCACAGATAATATTTGACTGCAATTGCTCCCATTTGTTCTGGACATGAAAGTTTTTCCCCCTGGAAACTGTGTTGCAGCTGGAATCGATCCAGTGAGGTTACAGCCACCAGGACGCACATTTCACGGATGTAGGTTCCCCCACAGCTGTTAGAAGTGATGTCATGATGACATTACTCCAGTTTCTCTCCTTGGGGTATCCTGTCTTTATACTTCTATTAACATCCAGTTCTTCAAAATATGTTTTTGTATTGTCAACTGTTTTCACCCACACAGGTTCACCTACAGAAACAGGTTCACCCCTGAAAAAGTCCATTGCAACAAGAATCATACCACTTTCAGGAGAGGGGGTTTTCATTATGAAACAGGCTACATTTTACTAAAGCAACAATACATATGTTTATATCTTTAATTTGAGTTTTAAAAAGTTTAGAAAAGTAAAACTTTAAAAAGTAAAAATTTGGTTCAAAATACAATTTGGTAATCACTGCTTATACTTAGGAGGAACATGATTATTGCTGCCCTCCTTGGCCCTCTCCAAAGTGATGCCATGACGTTTTTTGTTGCTGCAGATGAATTCAGAGTGGGTTTTGCTTTCATGTGAGAGGTCACAGACTGGATATGAAGACGAGGTTACTTCACCAGGATGGAGACCAAAGGCTGATGAAATTACCTTGTGCTGCTTTCTCAGTCATCTATAGATGAGTCATGCAGTCTGCAATATATCTACTGAACAGGTTTCCATCCAGGTCTGGTACAGTCTGTCACTGTAGAAGGAATCTGTATCCTTGGTACTGGACTCTCCTATGAGTTTTCAGAACTGTTTAAAGTTTATGAACCAACACCTCCATCTAGTGTCTTAAGTTGTGAATTGCATGAAGGAGACAAAACTGTAAATACTGCAGTCCTGACCATGATCTCAAACATGTAACTTAACTTGAAAACAAGAATTTAATACATTACAAATGACTACACTCTTTTCATCAGAGGGAATCACTTCACTTTTGGTAAAGTAAGGCCCTGACATAAATGACCACAGCACAAAACATAGAGCTTTAAATTTTTATAAGACTTATAAAAAAGAAAAAACATAACACAATAACCAAGGCATGTCATACATTGTGTTTTTTCTTTGTTTCTCTGAGGAGTATTTACAAACAGGCTTATTTACAGATCGCGATAACTCGGAAATGGAAAAAGCTACATATAGCCTAGCACAAACAACCAGTTAGCATAATGATAATATATTTGTTATGTACAATGTAACTGGCAAGGCTAGAGCGAGAAAGAACATAAAGATTCTGCAAAAGGTTTAAATAACTTCAAGTATCTGTCTTGAGGTTTTAGTCCGATGGACGCAGAGTCTCAGCAACGCCGAAGAGAAGCCAAAAATCTGGTCGAGCTGCAAACCGTGTAGTGTGGCTGGGAAAGGACAAGAGGAGCTCTAGCCAATGGGAAAGACGACACAGACAATGCAACAAACGTGGTGACAGAACAATCACATCTCTGATAAATGCCCACTTTTTGAGAAACTTCTAAAAATAACCAAGGGAAAACTCCTCTCCTTGTATAAAGTGATATCCAGCTTATTGGCCTATAGCACCTTTTTTACTGCTTTGAATAACAAATGTGCAACAGGCAGAAATAAACAACAAACGACAGGAAACGAGAACATACTGTTCCTCAGGGGGGAAATGGTAGCTGTCGACATCTTGAGTCCAACGCAATGGGTCTTCCAAACAGCTCTCATGTTTCTGGACTTTGTGGTTTAACCGAACATCTTGGGTATCCATAGATAACTTCGTAACATTCTGAGACCTTTTGTCTCTCTCGTGAAACCCTCACTCTGGAGTTCTTCATCTCCATTGTAATCTTGTGTTCCACTTAAAAAAACTTCATAAAACTGTAAAAGAGTAACTTATTCATCACCTAGAACCTTACATGTTAATGGTGATCCAAATATAATGAAACCACTGTCAGAATTGCACAGTCAGCTGTATGAAAAGAAGAACTAGCTTGCTTGAGGAAAGATCTGGTTATTATTCTAAGTTAACAGTAGTTAGGCCTACTCTAGTTATATAGCCACTATTAAGAAAAGTGTGACCCAAGCACAGGCCATTTGTCCTATTAACGTCTCCAAGTGCATAAAACACTAATGCTACTTCACGACGTTCATGTAACAACACTGCGGGGCTCAAATGCCTCACTTGTTTACATTTCAGTTTAGAGTAACTGTTTTGGAAGCAGAGAAATAAAAAAGTCCATATACAACACAACACAGGCTGAGGCCAGTGTCCCCCAAGTCCCCCAAGGCATGTCTCAAACGGCACCCATCCAAGTGCACTGCTTTTGACAACCCACAAACCAGGAGCACCATAAAGACTCTAGTGTCATTTTTTAAGACCTTTTTTAAAGAGCAGCAAAACGTTAATTCAGATTTCTGTTCTGTGTGGCTCAAAGTAAAAATGCCATTAGGTGTCAAATTAGCTAAAAAAAAAAACAAAAAAAAAAACAAACCAAAAACAACCAAAAAAAAAACCAACGTGCTATTAGAAGAGTGAAATTTTGGACCGTCCTCTCAAAAGTAGTGCATTTCCTGGGCAGGAGGGTACCATTTGAGAATCTGCTCTGATCAGCTGCAACACACAAGACATCCTCCCTCTCCAGCCCCTCCCTGCCTCCCCTGAACACTCTTCCTCCTCAGCAGACAGTGAGGGGCTGGGGCTCACTTTCGCGCCGCTGGTTTTTCTTCAGCAGCTGAATGCGATTGTGGCAGTAGAACTTGATGGCTCGCCAGTCGCGGTGGTTGCTGACCAGCAGGGGGCACTGCTGCAGGCAGCGCTCACAGTCAGCCTTCGCAGGGACTCGGAGCTCTGTGATGTTTTGGGTCAGGTGCTCCTCGACTGCCGCACGCTCCGCCTCTGACCAGGGACGCTTCAGGACGCCTCGTTTTCCTATAGAGGAGGAGAGATGAATCCAATACCCATGTTTAACAGCTTCTCTCATTGGGCATAAGGGAAGTGAACCCTCCCTGACCATCAGACTCACTCTATATCCACTCTGTTCAAAAGAACTCTGAGTTGTACTTTTCAGATTCCAGCATGTTTTAGCAAATTAGTCCAAGGCTGCTTGATTCCTAACAACTGGTGCCTGTGAGTAGGTTTCTTTTTACTTGTTTACTGTATAAATGTGGGCTATTAATTCCAAATTCAGTCAATTGGCTTTGATGTATACTGACATGACAGATGAAAACTGTAGTTTACTGCTTGTCTTGTTCCCTTGCATGATACTGTAACCATTTCTGGTACTTATTGCCTGACAACAGTGTTGTCACAAGTTTAAACTAAATCTAATTCACAAGTTCTGTTTGAAAATGTATTGTACATGCTTCATGGTTTTGGATGCCTGAGGTTCAGATCAGTTTGCCCTCTGCCCTCAAGTCAAAAAGCGAGGAAGCAGTGATTATCTTTAATAGCAATTTTAGAACTAGGGATGACAATTTTCTTCAAACAGTACAGTTAGTGTCGCCCCAAGAATTTTTTCATTGAGGTGGCCAGAGGGAGCCACTGAAAATCTCAAAATCCAAAAGCCATTCAGGAACTCTATTATGTTTTTGAAGTATACTGACTAATTAAAGACGGTCACAGTAAGAGTTAAGGAATCACATACTGATATACTTTGGTTTCATATTTTACAGTTAATGTTACTAGTTATCTGATGTGAATAGACCAATACCTGAACTGTTAACATTTTGACTTCCAAAACAATCCTGATTTAATGTGTTTCATATCTATAAATGTGTTAGGCAATTGATTGTTCTTCAGATAGGCTGGTTGTCCTTTCCCTTAAAAAGTCAAATATTCAGCTTTAGATTGATTGTAAGTGGGAGAACATTTACTGGGAACAAGCCTTCTCAAGTTTAAGGGGACTCGTGGTGCAGGGGGCCAGCAATTGTATCAGACTGGCCATGGCCCCCCAGGCCCCACCTTGGGGATGCCACTGGTTACGACACATTATACTGATCGGTGAAGATCTAAGCCACATCCAATTTGATGTAATTCATTCTCAATCCACTACAAAGTCACTAACATTCTTCACTTCATTAATGTCTAAATTGTGAATTTTGCTGGTTTTCTTTGTCTGCAATGACAGTAAAGTGAATCACTTTGGGTATCGTGCTGGTAGTTGGAAAAAAAAGGAAATCTGAGGATGTCACCGAAGACTATTAGAAAGTGTGCAGACATTATTTAGTATTCTCTGACAGTTTATAGACAGCTAATCAATTGATTGAAAAAATAACCAACAGTCACTGTATATCGAAAATGTCTTTATCTATGAAGCATTTCTATGAAGAATAGTGAGCATCTTTCAAGATATCCTAACCATGACAGTAACATTTGTAAATCAGTCCACATCACCCAAGAAAAAGCACCATGGAGAACTTTGGAAATTCTGAAGTTGTTCACACTATTTTGTTTCTGTGTGCTCAGCAGTGTCTTTTTTTTCAGTTTGACCAGTGAACTTTGCCTGCTGGGATAAACATGTACCAGTACACTTCGTGCTTCACCTTCAAATACTGACTTGGAGTCTGTCTGATGAAGCAAATGGCTTGAACTGCCCATGTTGTAAATCTTGTTTCACCTCCCTCTCCTTAGACACACACACACACACACACACACACAAAACTGTCCTCTATTCTTAGTTTTCTCATTGCTCTTTCCACATTTTGATTATCTTTTTTTTTCCCGTTGGTTATTTTAACTTTTGTCTCTGGGTGCAGTGTTTTAAATCTCACCTGCACAGTTTCATTCATCTTTCTCCATGTTGTTCATTTGGGCAATTGCACTTATACTTGAACCCCAACAAACCTGATTTGGGCTGACCTGAGCCTCTCCTGCGATTTGCGGGTGGAGGTGGAGGAGGTGGAGGGGGCGGCTGGATGTTCTTGAGCTTCTTGGGTCGTCCCACCCGTCCGTTGTTCTTGCCCTTTCTGACATAGAGCAGAGTAGGTGTAGGGTTCGGAGCAGGAGCAGGGGCTGGCGATTCAAGCTTCTCCTTCACCTGTTCCCCTTCAGACTCTCCTTCTGAGTATGAGTCCGCAGAATTTCCTGACATAACTGGAAAAGAAAGAGCAGAACCTCATTAGTCTAATCTGTCACTACTCTCTGTGCTCTCCTATCAAACACCTCCTCCTTACACACAAACATCTAGAACAACTGGAGGAAGGGACACAATCCTTTTCCAGCCAGGGGATGTTTGACACCATAAAAGGAGGGATGATACAGCTCGTCTTGGACAACAGAAAAAGACATCAGTCCCATTCATTCATTCAGCCAGCTCACCATCCAGCTCCAGGCAGATGTGGTTCAGGCTCATTCCTCTGAACAGCACTCCATCTCTCTCTCCACAAAGCACCACTCTGCCCACTCTGCCCATCAGGCCTGGGTCTTGGCCAATTCCGGTACAGTTCTGTGTCACATGGTACTCTCTCTCCAGGAAGTGCTCTAGCCTCTCCACAGCGCTGCCTCCAGGCTGCCCGGGTTCCTCTCCCTCTCCCAGTAGCAGCAGCTGGGTGAGTATAGCTACCTGTCGGCGAACCCTGGTCTGGGTCAGAGCACGGGGATTGCGGGTACCACTTGAGCGGGCTAGGCTGCGGAGGAGGTCAGTACCTCGCAGAGGAGTGGCAGGGGAGTGGTAGGGCCTGGCGAAGACATACGGATTTGCAGGGTCAACTCCCACATCCTGCCGTGTCTGCAGGAGGAGCTCCAGGCAGGGTTCGCAGTGAGGGGGGAGGATAAGGGGCTGGACTCGTCCACGTTTACCCTGGACCCCAACTCTAGGGAGGTGAGGAAGCACCAGGCGCTCAAAGGGGGACAGGGAGGCCTCCAATGGAGTAAGCGCTGGAGGGGCACCAGGTGGGACAGGAACAGGGCACTGGGGAGTGACACGAGCACGATATTCGGCGATGGACAGCTTGGAGACCTCACACTCGCGTCGTCGGTTGTAAAGGATGAGGAGAGCCAGGCTGGAATGGCACAGAAGGCGCCAGGCCTCTGCTGATTGTAGCTGCCGAGACAGGGATAAGAAGGCCGAGTGCTGAAGCCGACGAAGGTACAGCACCAGAGAGGACAAGGACGAGAGGAGGGGCAGCATGTGGTGACGCCCTGACCCACTGAAAAAAGACAGATGGTGAACAATTAGTTCATATGTTCATTCTAATAGTATTAATTCCAGTTAACTTACAACAACTTAGGTCTAGTGTAAGTTTTAGGGGTGTAGTGGCAGCTAGCAATGAGGATAACAGCTTGCACCATCTGAAACTTTTTCTGATTAGTTTCTTCAGTGTTCACTGTTCAGGAGCTTTTTACTAGGAATGGTTATCCACAGAGGTCTCTTCCTCTCCAAAACTAACAGACCAGGTGATTTAAACTGTTAAAAGCACTAAATAAAGCAGTTTCACGTTACAAATAAGTGTTTCTCCAATATTGTTCAGCACACTGCAGATAGTCCGCTTGCCTTGTACTTACAAATGTGCACTCACCTATTTTCTTTGGTAACTTAATGTGTGCTCACTTTTTTTTTTTTAATCAGACGTTCAAGAGGTTTTTTAGCATGAGCCGAACTACCCGCAGTTGTCTCCTCCCTCTCACTAACTAACAGGCCAGGTGATTTAAATCAGTAAAAATACTGAATAAAGCAGCGTCACGTTACAAATCAGTGTTTCTCCAGTGCTGTTCGGTTTGATAGGGACAGCTAATGTTTGCTCACCTTTTTTTTCTGTTAACTAAAGAACCAGACGTTCAGGAGGTTTTTTCCTTGAGTTGCCTTTGCCTGGGCTCATAGCAGATCTGGTAGCCTTTGTAACATTACTGGCTAGATATCAGATACTAATGAGATGGAAATCATCAACGCCACCTTCCCACACTTTATGAATACAGGAGATCTCAGTAATTTACAGCTTTAAAAAAAATCCAAATGTACACTTAAGGCTCTTCAAGAAAATCTAAAAGATGTGGGGTCATTCTTTGCCTACATGGAGAAAATTACCTTATCAGCTATCCTCAAATAATGTCCCACTTAATCTTATCACTTTTTATCCATATTTTTTACTGCTATCTTGACCTTAAGGGTGAGATTATCGTCTACTGTAATAAATAACATATGACAAAGCTGACCGTTGTCATGTTTCTTTGTATGTTTAATGTGTTGTATGTCGTCATGATGCAAAAATGCGAACGGCCCACTCTAGAACCAGTCAGTACTTTTACATGCACAGTTACTAAGCCATTAAATGGGACTACTGTCCTTGGCCCAGTATGCAAGCACTGGAGGGGAATTGCTTTATTGACTGGAGTATGTTTGACTCCACTGTGATAGGTAGCAATATGCCCCCTTTCAGCTTGTTAGTATTGGACCTTTTTCCTGGTTGACTTATTAAGACACAGACCAAACAAGTTAGCTACAGTTAGCAAGCAGCAAATGTGTACCATGGTGGACAACTTTAAGGCTCTGTACATTTCATCCTTCCAAAAACTCCACAGATTGTTGCTGGCTTCCTCTTCTGAAAGGCATTTAATGCTATTTGACTTCCAAGTCAAAGCCTCGGGCGGAAACTGTGGAGCATGCACAGAGCACCTAGGCCAGTTTGGGTCAACTGACTGTATAAATGCAGAAGTAATTAAACTTCCGATCACATTATCTGGGTGCGTTAGTCTGACTTTGAGAAATTGGATTTAGTACAATTTCAGTTGGACTAACATGTTTGGTTTGTCCATTCTGGGCCACTGTAGAAACATGGTGATGCAACATGGCAATCTCCACTCAGCTAAACGGTTCATTCTGAGGTAACAAAAACACAACAATTCTTAATTTTAGGTGATAATACACTAAAGAACAAAACACACTTATTACATACTATATTTAGTGGTACTTTGTTACATTATCCTACAATCTAACTGTACCAATTTTTATACACCAGCTATCATGTTACAACAGAGACCAGCAGGTTTTCGAGGTGAACTTTGGGATGACTTGTGTGTATAGTTGCAATTTTAGTTGTTTGTTTTAGGGTTGCAACTAACAGTTATTTTCATAATACATTTATCTGCTGATTATTTTCTTAATTCATCTTTTTTAATAATCAAATTATCATCTATTTAAAGCAAAAATGGCAAACCATCACTGGTTCCAGCATCTCAAATGTGAAAATGTAATGCTTTTCTTTATCATCATTTAAACTAAATATCTTTGGTTGAAAGTGAATCACATTTTCTTTTATACTGTCCCTTGTATGATGAACTGAGAACTCCAATATTTACCGAAATGTCTGGTAAAATCCCAGAAATTCTCTGGTGCTCTGATGATGATAGAATGAACTGGTTGTTTAATTTTAATGTCTTTAAGCTTGCTAATTTTGTATGTGAAGCCTCTAAAAAGCATCAGGATGGTTTATATGCCTGGTATCTGGTTTTCATTTGCTGTCATTTGTTTCTTCTTTTGTTTGGTGTCTTGTAAGCCCACTCGGGCTGGGCACTTCTGGTGCATGACACAATAATAAAAAATCAAATCAAATCAAAATCAAAACTTTGGGTATTGATTGGTTGGTTAGACAAAACATTTTATAGAAAAAAATGATTAATTGATAAATCAACAATGAAAATAATAGTTAGTTACAGCCCTTCTCTCAAATTTGCTCACAAAGCAGGCAAAGACCTCAAGTTACCTCAGCAAGTCCTTTTCCTTATCCTCTGTCCCACTTTCATCTTCCACCTCCATCACTCCATTCTCCTCCTCCTCTTCCTCTTCTTCCTCATCTTCTTCATCTTCTTCTTCTTTTGGTGGCTCCATCTCTTTGGACAGCTTACTGCTGAAGGGCTGAGGGCACACCACCTCAACGTCTTCCTCCTCTTTGGGCCTCTTTATCTCCACGACCTCCACATCTTCTTCGTCTTCATCCTCCTCGTCCTCTCCCTCCTCCTCCTGTCTTTCTGTCTTTAGCCTCCTCATTGCTCCCTTCCTGGACTGCGTTACAGCCACAGGGGGTGGGCTTCTCTTCAGGACAGACACAGGCACTGCATTCTGTCCTCGTGGAGGCGTCAGCACAGGTGGAGTGGAGTTTCTTCCAGAGGAGGTAGGGGATTGGTTAGCTGCTGTCAGAGTGGGCGGAGGCATGGAGAGGTCCTGGACGCCAATCTGTGAAAGATCTGAACTGCGGCTCTGTCCTACGGCTTGTGACGACTTTGGATGCTGCGAAGTGTGTGTGTGAGCTGTGGTAGGGTTTTTGTTCTGTACATGCAGACGGGGCATCTGTGTGTAGCGCTCCACCAAGGCAGAGCACACTTCAGGTTGGTGGGCATGGTGTTTATCCAAGTGGCGACCCAGGGAGCGGAAGTGGCGTCCACAGTGCTCACAGGTTTGGCGCATGGAGTCTATGGATACTCCTCCTCTGGGGACATTTATGTTGATGTTGCCTTTGGTGTTGGAGCCCAGTGGAGCTGGAGCTTTGAACACAGGCTTAACTGAAGAGGAAGAGGAGGACGAGCAGGGAGGGGATGACTGTGCTGGAGGGTGGGATAAAGAAAGCGGACGGTTGTGATGAGGAATGCTGGTGGGGGAGACTGGCGGTGGCCGCCCTGATGGCGTTCGATGGGTGGTCTTTTTCTTTGAGGGAGCGCCGCGCCGTTTCTTGCGCCGGCGTGGTGCACGCCCGCGGGGGCTGGTGTTGTCTTCATCTCCAGCGTCTGAGTCACTGGCGTCAGAGTGGGAGATGGGGGAGGAAGAGGGGGAGAGGGACCAAGAGGGGGTGACGTACTCCTGCTGCTGCTGCTGCTGCTGCTGCTGCTGCTGCTGTTGCTGCTGCTGTTGCCGCTGCTGCTGCTGGGCTGTCAGAGAGAGAGGCTCATCCTCCTGGAAGTGAGAGACAGTGACAGGGTGGGGGAAAAAAAAGAACATGTCACCTGTTGTCCAGAGACTTTTTTTGCACTATTATTGGGGTGTCAAAGAAAACTACATTTGAGATAAAGACTTTTTGGTGCATTCAAATGATTTTTACTGTAACAAGTTAAGTTACAGTGATCAGCCACTTACGAATATATGGATCAAAAAGCTTAAGACAGAATTATTCTCATATAAATGCTGTTTGAATAATTAACTTTTAGGAATCGAGTAGTCCACTTGCAGTGTTCGTTTTGGGTCTTTTCATACATGACGACATATGGAGAAAAAAACTATGAGAGATCAATTTTCTTTTTTTAACTTTAAAAAAGCGTTTCTTATGGGGGCAATACCGATGCCCATGAAGCACTCAGAGAACATTTGTGTGGATCTGTATTTAAATGCCAGTTTAGTCCTTCATGCAAATTTTCACAACATAAATTAAGTATTCTTATTTGTTATTTCCATGGCCTAGGATTAACATGACTTACTCTAGAACCAGGGAAGTTTCAAACTGATGTCATAGGGGTATAAAGTCTGGAGCTGCTTCATACACAATGAACTGGAGTCTCATTTTGTGGACCTGCTTTTTTTCATTTTAGACCCAAATGATCTTTTTTCTCTTGTAGTGTTCTTAAACAGAAAATGTACCCATATACTCAGAACATTCCGATGGGTGCTCTAAGTGACATCTGGAACATCTTTCAATATTAATTATCTACGGAGCAGCTCCAGACTTTATGTCTTATGACATCACAAATTTGGGTTTTAGCAAGTTTATTAAGTTTTTGAATTTGGGGGAGAGTTGTTTGTGTTCGCTAATATTTTTGGACTGCCTTAGACCATAGGAATAAAATGTATGAATTTTCAATTTAATTTAAAGTTATTTTATAAAATAATTATTATATTTCACTTATAAATATAAGTTATTCACATGGCTTTTTTAGTTAGAGACTAATGATAATTATATTCCAACAGTCCAGTTTAATCAAATGTGGCACACGATAACTTCTTTTTTTTTTTTTTAATTCTATATACTTTATTAATCCCCGAGGGGAAATTCAATTTTTCACTCTGTTGTCAATTACACACAGGTCCGAACACACACATGCACAAACAGGACCTATACATGCACTAAGTGGAGAGATGTCAGAGTGGGCTGCCCATGACAGGCGCTCCGAGCAGTTCATATAATAAATAAATATACATGTCATTTACCTGCATGAGAAGTAAAGAAAAGAGAAAGCAACAGTTGTAATAATAATAATAATGATCTAAAGTGATCACTATCAGTGATTTCCACTGTATATATAATTGCTTTTCTGTAACTTTTTCAAACCTGTATTATGTATACCTGTATATGTTTATTTGAGCATAGCATTCATAACACTTAAGTGAATAAGTATATATAAAACCTTTGGGATAATTATCTGGAGATAAAAACCTACCAGCTGCCCAGAGGTGTTTTTCCTTAACAACAGTGGTCACTAAGCACTTGGGTACTTAAACTGACTACCCACCAAATCACCACTGTTCACAAAAAATATCACCATCATGTCACAGATTGGCTCCATCACAGCGCAGTCTGAACATTGTTACTGACATTACAGCACAGATGCGTTAAAACTTTCACCAGTTTAATCAGATGCACAGTCAGGAGAGTCGTAACATTTTAAAGCAATAAGCACAAAGTGGGCAAGAGAATCAACAGTGAATTGTCTGCGCGCAAGTGATAAATGATTGCTGCTTTGTTTCCTTACCAGAGCATTCAGTGTGTGGAAGAAGGCAGATAGACAGCACAATGACACTAAGCATAAGCAGGTTACGTTACTTATGGGGTTTTACTTTAAAGGAGTTACACTCGATGACATCTTGTATCATTAATACGCATAATAAAACAATTATCCAGAGCAGGGGGAGGAAGACTTGATGATAATGATTATGTTGAGTCCAACATCAGTGTTGTCCACCCACATCCAGACAGGTGGCATCCTGCAGGCACAGCAGTGCATCACAACCACTACATTTGCTCACTAATATTCCGTTTGTATTGTACAGAGGCAGTGCTGATTTTTACTGCAGAGATGTTTGGATACCATTCTTGTGAGAAACGCATCGCAGAGCATAAATAAATATCAGATGCAATACATGTATTGACTACATTTAAAATATTTCCTCATACAGTGAAGGTTCTGTCAGTGTTTTTTTTTTCTTCGCTAAAATACATTTACTTAACTTCTTTAATACCACTGTTTTGTAGTGTGGCAATCGCAGTTTTTAGATTCTAGTGAAGATCATAAAGTTTCCAAAGAAACCAAATAAGTCAGGTTGAATTTGGAGGCAATAATCTAAAACCTGAACTAAATCATATTTTTGGGGCAGGTGAAAAGATAACAATGACATTAATATCAACTTTTTAAGTAAACATAGTAATCTAGCTATTCATTTGAGCCATGTTTTTGTCTAGCTGGACCCTTAGGTCAAACATTTACTCTCTTTTAGCTCTGTTTTTGGTCTTTACAAACTCCTGAGGGGAAATACCTGTGTCTTTAGCTGCTAAATACTCCACTATGTTCACCACGTAGTCTCTGACTGTTTCTGTGAGTGAGCAGGTAGTGTACACTGAGTAGATTTAATTCATCAATTGGTGTCCATTGTCTTGCTGTCACTTCTTAAAATTATAAAATTGATGTTTTGTCAGTCAAACTGTGCACGTGTTAGGGAAAATGTGGTGTTTTTCTCTTACCTTTTTGATATTGTTGTTATTCTCGGAGTCAGAGTTACACTCATGTTGCGCTGGAGACACAGTGCCACGGAAACCCTGTGGGACATTAAGCAGTCACATTAAAACAGCCGGCACACTGCTCATTAATGTCTGCCATCACAATCAGACTGAGCTGTCACTCAAAAAGCAGGAGGACACCCCTTCACAGTTGGTCATAAGCGCAGAGGTTGATTAGGACTCCAAATCTCCCACTAAGAAGCCAAACAGGAGACGTGAAAAGAGACCTGCAAATACCGTCAACCTCTTATAAGCGATATACATGGCTGTTATCAATCAGGCTCGGATACAGCTATTAACGGAAACCTAAAAAATATCAGTTTTGGGACTTTATCTCAGCCAAATTTAATATGGCCTTGAAGGAACTGTGAGCAACTCTGGTCCCACTTAAACCTCTGATGTCAATTTCTCAATTTCGTCAATTTAATTTCCTTAAGCGGATTCTGGGATCATCATTTTGTTGAGTAAATTGATCCAATCTAATGAGATCCATTAAAGGAACAGATGTCATGTAATAACCATGGTTACTGTTGCTAAAGCACTATAGGTAGAGAGAGAACTGAAGCTCAGCCATCACCATGGTAACCCCATGCCTTGCTTAGCTTTGTGTGTGTAGCACGAATATGTGCACAGCGGGTAGTGTGAATATGTGTGTGTTTGTGTGTGTGTTTGTGTATGTGTGTGTGTGTGTGTGTGTGTGTGCGACAGTGAGTGTATGAAGCTGATCAACAGTGTGTGAATACACATATGGTTGCCTATCTGAAGTCATCAGAGATATGCACAGTGTGTAAAATGTATTTCTATACTTATGAGGACCAAGTAGCCATGGACAGACAGGTGCAGAGAATTGAAGAGAGATCATTTCAAGGTTTTGGATTAGACATTTAGAAAGTTCAGAGTTGAGATTATTATTAAGGTTGAAATTATGGTTAGACAAATTACACATTACAAGATTAGACGGTAAAGCTACAGCATGCATAAGTAGTGCTATGGATACATTGTGTTGCGGCCTATTGAAGCTTCTCAGATGTATTTTCCTCTTCTACAACTAATTTCTTCTTGTGTGACATTATTTTCTCCAACTTCTCTATAAAGCTGCACTGGAAATATCAGTGTTAGCAGGTTCCATGCTAATGTACAAATCTATCAGCAACACCAACTAAATGCAAGACATATCACCAAATTCCAAGTTTAACAGCGTAAAATACATATATTTTGGGGGGTTAATGATGAGGGAATACATATACTCAAAGGAAGGTACATATGTGTGTAGTGTAGGATCTGTCTTTAAAGGCACTGACCAAGTTCTCTCCCCATTCTGTCAGGCTGTAGTCCACAGTGATCTCCTCCCCCTTGGTGATGTCTCGGATGGCAATAACGACCAGCCGCACCTGACTCCCACAGTGGACCTCTCGGATGCGGCAGTTAGGGGAGGGGGGAAATGAGCTGGCTGTTGGGGCTGGTGCAGAGGCTGTCGGAGCAGATGGAGCTGTGGACGCGGGGGTCAGAGACGGGGCCTGAGCTGTAGTCGCTGTGGCCGGGGCGGGAGCAGGGAGTGGTGTTAGGGTTGGAGCAGAGGAAGCGGCAGGAGCTGGAGCTGGGGTAGAGGCTGAGCAGGAGCTGGTCTTGGATCCAGTGGAGACTCTGTCATGAACTTGCACTGATGGACCACTGGGGGGTAAAGGAGGTGGGGAATTGAAAGTTAAATTCACTACCGTCATCAGACAATATGTGCTGTAGGTCTGTTTCTATTCTGCTCTAATGCTTTTTTTTATTAGACTAGAAAGACATCCAGCAAAAGTAATCCCCCTCAAACATCAATTATGTCCCATTAGAAGTGTGTGGTGGTGTATTTATCTGCAGAGAACCTGCCCTTTGCCTGTATTTTCTTGTTTTCTTCTTACTTTGCTATGTGTGGTATGTTTATGGGCATGTAGCCCCTAGCCGATAGGAGCACGCAGTTGAGGTCAGGTGCCAGACAGTAAGCAGCATGCACCGAAGAGGAAGCTATGAAAACCTCAGACACAGTGCTGGAAAAACACAAATAAAGCGAGGTGATATGACAAATGGACAAAGCTTGTTCAAAAATAAAAGGGAATCTGGGGATGGCTTTCACTTTTCCTTTTGATGATGAGCAACCAACACACCAAGCTAACAGTCAGCTGTCGTGCAATGTTGGGCCATCAGTGTGCGTCCATGGCCCTTGTTGCTGCATCGGCCCGCACCGTTGGCCTTGTTAACTTTTTTTTTTTTTTTTTGTAAAGATATTTTTATGGGCATTTTTTGCCTTTAATTGATAGGATAGTGAAGTGTGAAAGGGGGAGAGTGAGAGGGAGAGACATGCAGCAAAGGGCCACAGGCCGGAGTCAAACCCGGGCCGCTGCGGCAACAGCCTTGTACATGGGGCGCCTGCTCTACTACTAAGCCACCGACGCTCCGGCCTTGTTAACTTTTTTCTGCCAATTCAGCATGTTGAATTGACATCTGTGACAGCAGAACCCATTGGTGAATTAAATCACTCAGATTGGCAGCGCAGCTAGTGCAGGAGAAAATAAATAGAATTGAGGAAAGTAAACAAACAGCTTAAGTCAAGAGGGAGTGACACCAAAACAAACCTGTTCCATAAGGTAAGATTACTTTCCTTTAGCCAAGCTCTTTAGCAGAAATGTTTCCTTATGGTTTGTGTTATTGAGCACGGTAAATATGCTCTGTTCTTTCAACTTTGGATTGTGTTGTTAATGCTTTACTGGCTAAATAGCGTCAAGACAGTTTTCCGATTTCCCTTTTTGATTGCCTAATACAGACTACCACCACCTGCTGGTGTGGAGAGTTACTTCCTCTCATGCAAGCACAGACCATTCATGCTGGTTGGCCATCAGTTTGAGTCTTTACAGTGTATTCATGTGCAACTTTCTGGCCCAGACACAGCGACATGCCACAACACTCCAGGGGGCTTTCACTGCTGCTAGTTCTCTGAAGTCAGTTTGGTGTGTCTGGGTCTTAAAAGAGAGGATGAAGGGAGACAAAGAGTTGGCCTGTTTTCTGTTGGATGGGTAGGTGCCAGCAGTTAGCTTGCTTAAGTATTGACATTTCCAATACAAGAAACGAAACGTTTCTACAATAGGACAGTAGCCTGCAGTCTACATACAAGCAGTGTAGTGAGGAGGGGCCAAGTCTGAATGTTGTGTTTACAAACCGTAATCAACAATTCCTGTAATTGGCTGGACAGCAGAGGTGAGGCCAGCCCTACAAACATGAAAATCTGTTGTGAGTGAGTGATGAAGTTACACCATTGGGTGGAGTGACTGATGATGGGAGTGTTGCTATTTCCCCATTGGTCGTTGTTCTTTCAAAATGAATAGGTGGGGACAGTCCTGTCATACTGTATTCCTCATTTTCTGTAACCAGTGTAGCATGATAGCATGGTGAAATTAGCTAGCTAACTAGCCAGCTGCAAGTTGAGTTAAATTCAACAACTTAAGGCTTTGTCCATATGCTCTTGTCACAGCATATTGCTATTATGAGACGAGGGACGAGGATTAACCAGTGAGCCAAATAACTAGCCAGGTAACTGGCCAGGCATGGGCTGAATGTCAGTTTTGGACAGAGGAAAGAGAGGATCACCTCATCTGTTTGTTTGAGGAACAGCTGTGTCTTTATCACAAAGGCCTTACATTATTTTAAACATTATTGATTGTTGCCAGTTACAATATCAGAACAGGTACCATCAAAGTTATGACAAGAAACTGAAAATAAGACACTGATTGAAAATGAAGTGAATGTAACATGTTAAATGTCATATCAAGTGGGGCGTCGGTGGCTTAGTGGTAGAGCAGGTGCCCCATATACAAGGCTGTTGCTGCAGCGGCCCGGGTTCGACTCCAGCCTGTGGCCCTTTGCTGCATGTCACTCCCTCTCTCTCTCCCCCCTTCATGCTTCTCTGTCCTATCCATTAAAGGCTAAAAATGCCTGAAAAAATATCTTTAAAAAAAATATATATATGTTGCATCAGGTGCCGCAACAATGACAGAATTCTCCTTTTGGTAATTGCCACTTATTGGACGTTTTACAAACTATTGTAATGAGCTGTGCATCCTCCACCAGTCCAGCTCCCTTCTATTGTGTGACTGTGTCTCACTGCGCTGTTTTAATACAATATGTAATCACATTGATTTTTGGACTGAACCACAACAACGAGGCCAGCTCTGTAAGCGAAATTCAAGGCGATGTATAACTCTGTGACTGAGTGACTTCCGGCAACTTCCTGTTTCAAAAAGTCCTCATTTTAAATCAAAAGCCCTTTAACATTTCATACACGGTCCAGCCATATGCTAGGTTTTGACCAAGTCTTGTTTTTACATTTTTATTGTTGAAGTCATTTATCAAACAAAAAGCCAGACATTTACTGATTCCAGTTTTTTAAATGCAAACATTTGCTACTTTTCTGTTTTATTTCATTATAAAAAAAATACCTCAAAATACCTTTTTGTATTTGCTGACTTCACGCTGAATTCTGGGAAATTGAGGTTGTTGGGTTTTTTTTTTTTAAATTTTGTCATTTTGTTAAAAAACAATTTAAATTGAAATCAAAATAAATGTAATGATAATGGAAATAACCATTAAAGACAGCCCTGTAATGTTTCTGTTTTGTCATATTGTCATTAATCCATTTCATTGTGAGTACACTCTGTATGTAGAGGGGTTATATGTTAAATGTAGGCTAAGGGTTGATACATGTTCTAAAAGCCAGCTTTGCTCTTTCATAATTTGGCTATATGTCACAAATTGCTGGAATACAGGTTTGTCAATCAAGGTATAGGAGCAGGAATTAATTGTCATTATTATGTCTTGTCACTGTATTTACATTCTTCTAGCCGCAGGGTTCATTTCTTTGCTTTAGGGATACATGGCAGCTGCAAGAGTGTAAAGCAAACAGTAAAAATCCACACATACAAGCTGATGCCAGTGCTTCAGGGCAGTGATTCTCAATCTCAGTCCTCAGAGTGCTGCTGATTTTCTATCCTACTGGCTAGTCAACAGCATTCTTCTGACATCTCAGGTATAAATCAGCCTGATTATATGGCTAAAATAAAAACCTACAGGGTTGGTGAGTCCTGAGGACTGGGATTTAGAAGTGCTGCTGTCAGACAAAGCTGTCCTCGAGTGCTGAGTTAAGATCAGCAGCCATTCACTCTTTTCTAACTATTTAAACATTCGAACTATTTAACCTTTTTTTTGCCTGCATACAATCTGTACAAAATCGTAAACCTAACAGCCAATAGTAAAAAAGAAATATGTATATGTATATATACAGTACAGGCCAAAAGTTTGGACACACCTTCTCATTCAATGCGTTTTCTTTATTTTCATGACTATTTACATTGTAGATTCTCACTGAAGGCATCAAAACTATGAATGAACACATGTGGAGTTATGTACTTAACAAAAAAAGGTGAAATAACTGAAAACATGTTTTATATTCTAGTTTCTTCAAAATAGCCACCCTTTGCTCTGATTACTGCTTTGCACACTCTTGGCATTCTCTCCATGAGCTTCAAGAGGTAGTCACCTGAAATGGTTTCCACTTCACAGGTGTGCCTTATCAGGGTTAATTAGTGGAATTTCTTGCTTTATCAATGGGGTTGGGACCATCAGTTGTGTTGTGCAGAAGTCAGGTTAATACACAGCCGACAGCCCTATTGGACAACTGTTAAAATTCATATTATGGCAAGAACCAATCAGCTAACTAAAGAAAAACGAGTGGCCATCATTACTTTAAGAAATGAAGGTCAGTCAGTCCGGAAAATTGCAAAAACTTTAAATGTGTCCCCAAGTGGAGTCGCAAAAACCATCAAGCGCTACAACGAAACTGGCACACATGAGGACCGACCCAGGAAAGGAAGACCAAGAGTCACCTCTGCTTCTGAGGATAAGTTCATCCGAGTCACCAGCCTCAGAAATCGCAAGTTAACAGCAGCTCAGATTAGAGACCAGATGAATGCCACACAGAGTTCTAGCAGCAGACCCATCTCTAGAACAACTGTTAAGAGGAGACTGCGCCAATCAGGCCTTCATGGTCAAATAGCTGCTAGGAAACCACTGCTAAGGAGAGGCAACAAGCAGAAGAGATTTGTTTGGGCCAAGAAACACAAGGAATGGACATTAGACCAGTGGAAATCTGTGCTTTGGTCTGATGAGTCCAAATTTGAGATCTTTGGTTCCAACCGCCGTGTCTTTGTGAGACGCAGAAAAGGTGAACGGATGGATTCCACATGCCTGGTTCCCACTGTGAAGCATGGAGGAGGAGGTGTGATGGTGTGGGGGTGTTTTGCTGGTGACACTGTTGGGGATTTATTCAAAATTGAAGGCACACTGAACCAGCATGGCTACCACAGCATCCTGCAGCGACATGCCATCCCATCCGGTTTGCGTTTAGTTGGACGATCATTTATTTTTCAACAGGACAATGACCCCAAACACACCTCCAGGCTGTGTAAGGGCTATTTGACCAAGAAGGAGAGTGATGGAGTGCTGCGGCAGATGACCTGGCCTCCACAGTCACCGGACCTGAACCCAATCGAGATGGTTTGGGGTGAGCTGGACCGCAGAGTGAAGGCAAAGGGGCCAACAAGTGCTAAACACCTCTGGGAACTCCTTCAAGACTGTTGGAAAACCATTTCAGGTGTGTGTGTGTGTGTGTGTGTGTGTATGTGTGTATGTGTGCCTGTGTGTGTGGACTACTCGCAGCGATGACACAAATGTACACTCACCAGTTGTGAGAAGTAGAATCTGTGTTGTAGAAAGGCCCGTCCAGTATGGGCCGTTTATTCTCTGCTGCTTCTTTACGATCACCTGAGAGCACAGCAACAGTCAGTATAAAAGGATTACATACAAGTATGCAGGGACACACACACACTCACACACTCACACAAAGGTCATCACCTCATCTCCTGGAGCACACACACAGGTGCACATCCCAGCACATACACAGGCAAGCACACACACACACACACACACACACACACACACACACACACACACACAAAAGTAGGTCACACTCACTTGCACACGCTCCACCCCCATACCAATCGCACAGACACACAGACAGATGTACGTACACGCACACACACGCACACACACACACACACACACACACAAACACCACACACAGACACGTATACACACAGCTGATCGCAGTGAGAATATAGCGTGCAGATATAACACATACAAACACACACCTGGGCTGAAGCTGTGTTCAGGCACGCTCTCTTCCTCAGTGTGTGTAACAAAGACTTTCACGGGTGTCCCTTTCCTTTTTCTTCCACAGCCGCGCCTGCAGAGAATACACACACACCCACACACACACACAATTATCATTTAATCAATCGACCTACTGGCCAAACTTCAATCAGGTCAGAGAATGATCAATAAGCTGATGGCCACCTAATGGATCAATACAAAGTGTGTTTAGCACTCCCGTATAAGCAAACACAACACCAAAAAAAACACGGAAACAAAGATACAGCAACTGGACAATGATTTTAACTGTTCTTTACTGTATATGTCTGGAGTAGCTAGTGCATGGTTTCAGACTCAGGTGATCTGCACTGACTGAACAGGGAGCAATTAGTTCAGTCCGAGCCCTCTTGAACATACTGATTTTGAAACTTTGTCATCTTTCCACACCACACACCAGGTTAATATGAAAGTAAAAGAGCTCAGGGCAAAGTTTCACTTGAATGTTCATAAAATGCCTGAGAATTTTTAATTCATAGGCTAAAAACACTCTCAGTAATTAGGAGCAACCTCACTTGCATTTCGACCTATTCACATTAATTTCACTCAGCTGTCAGATATTCATATGTAAGTGTGAATACTGTCCCCCGTGGACCACCAGAGGACAAATCCTTTCAGTGCATTCTTTGCGCTATGCAATTATTTTACTTTTTAAATATTAAAGCAATGGTGTCAGTAGGAGAAAATGTTGTCACTACCAAGCAGCAACCTCTGGGACTGAAATATGAAGCCAAACCAAAGTGTCAAAAACTGCAGTTCCTTGAATGGCCACTTGACGCTAGCTCCAAGTGTGAGTCAGTCCCCAAAGACCCCCATGATAAAATGCCCAACTTTACAGCAGAAATAAACATGTTTACAGTCTGGTACAAAAAAAACGTTTTTGGCCTTCATAGCTTTTTCCAACACTCATGAAAACTCCATGGGGGCAAATTTTAAGATTAAATTTTACAGCTTTTTTGCCTTTATTATATACGACAGATAGCTGTGATAGCGGGGAAAGAGAGGGAATGACATGCAGCAAAGGGAAAGAGGTTGGACTCAAACCCAAGCTGCTGCTAAGGACTCATGGTCGAAATTCATAGTATATGGACACAGCAGGGAACACCTGCTGCAACATGCCTGTAGCAGAGTTATAATCAACATTATAATCAACTGAAGCTGCTACACTGACCACGGAAGCCATGCTTGCCCACGCAGGCATCCTACAGCTCTTGTCTATATTTACAAAGCAGATCAACGTAACGTAGCAGAGCAACCATGTAAGTGATTTTACATTACATTAAAATAAATAAATCAAATCAATGTATCACGTTGTTAAATCGATCCAGTTGATTAACTCTGTGTCAGTTAATATGGCTTACACCAGTGGTTCTTAAGTGGTGGGCCACCACATACTGATGTGCTGTGAGACCAATCCAGGTGTGCCGTAGGACTGTGTGATAACAATGCATCATTACAATATTCAACTGAGCCTATACAAAAAGTAATGAATTCATTTTTAATAGACTGTATCAGTATGTTGTGTGCACCCATTTCCAAATTAAGAGGCAAACTCCAGCTAAGAAAATGTAATTTAATTTAACCAATTGGTTGCTGTTTGCGAATGGGAATTTTAAGTGTGTGACACATCAAAAGCCCTGATTGGCAGCCAGTGTGAGGGATGATAACAATTAAAAAGAGGAAGCTGTGAGTAGGACAACTGATCGCTTGTACGGAGCAAACTACAACAAAGCACCAGTGAAAGTGACCTACCACCGAAAGAAAAGGAAAAGAAATCTGTCTGCAGGAAGTAATGTGAAAGTTACCTGCCTTTTTTTTCTTATTTATTTGTCTTGTGGCTTGATAAGAGTGATAACACATGTTACAGATGCTACTGTACACAGATATAAATACAGGTGTGCCTTGAGATTTTGGCTTGCCCTTTGGCATACCTTGGGCCCATACAGTTAGAAAACCAATGGCTTACACTTCCAAACCCTGCATAACCAACTGCATTATCACATGGCAAAACACACCCACAGTGAAGCTGGCAGCAACCAGATGGAGTCTGTGTAGCGAGTAAAAACCCCACTCTACCTTGCCTACACGGCACTTTGGCTGTCAGCCTACAAAGGGCACACGCTCTACCAGGTGAGTTACCGGGGCACATTTATATAACTTGCCCCTTTTATGTTATTATGTATGTATAGCTGATTTGAGTGACAGGTTGTTTGTGAGATGTCACTTCAGTCAATGGGTCTGATCCAACATCTCATTCAAATATGGTCACTCCTGGCTTCAAAAACCCAAGATGGCTACAGCCAAAATGCCAGACTCAAGGCTTCAAAACTGGAGTCCACAAAGCAATGGATGAAGTTTCGGTGACTACATACATTATTTATTAACAGTCTTAAGTCACAACAGAGCCCAAAAGAAAAAATAAAATAAAACAATCACTAGCATATAAACAGGCTGAATGTGATTTTATTTTTTAAAACTAGTGCTTATAAAATAACTGAGTTTCAGTGTTAATACCAAAACAATACTTTACGTTGAGGAATAAACTCTATGTCTTCCTACAAAACACTTTTTTTTATATTTGAGAACTTTGCTTAAATAAATTGTAGTCCAAAACTGGTAGATTTGTGATTTAAATCAGAAATCCTCTGATCAAATAATAAGTAGGGAAGAGTTCAGAGTACAACAAGAAATTTAATTCCAGCTTTTGATAAATCTCAACAACCCAGAAATGGCAATATGATCTGGTCTGCCTGTCTCTTTAAATTAAAACATTTCTTTAATTATGTGTGGGAAGTGCGTTATTCTATCACTTAGAATAAAACAAATCCCAGAGATCAAATTGCCTTCTAATTTGCCAATTTGTGATGCTTCGGAGTTGAAAATAACATCCAATGAAAAAGACTAAAAAGTTAAAAAATAAAAAAAATCACCCTGCCACTCACTATCACCGTTTCACAAACAGTTTCAGCAGGTTTCATTTCTGAGGCATATCAACAAACTGACTCCAGCTTGATGATCATTATGTAAACAGTAACCTCTGAATAATGACCACAACGACCACAGTAAGATTCAGCGAACTAGTAAGTGTTCATAGTTGAGTGCTCTGACCCCTGGATCACCACTAAGGAGTGTGCCATTACCCCAGAGAGCTCAAACGCAGCCACCTGTGTGAGCCCAGAATGGCCAGGCAAAATTATCTTCTTCAGACTAAATCCATGCCAAAACCGCCACGCTCAGAAGAGCCAAACTGATCCCGCCTCTGCCGATTCTGGGCTTGTTCTGTTACCACAGATCACAATATTGTTTTCCGTCAGTCTATTTTTTACTCGCATGACATTGGAGGCTCTTAAAACTAGGCCATAGGAAGATCGTGCTTTGGATTTTGAGGTGTTCATTACTGTATGTGTATGTGTGTGTCTGTGTGTGTGTGCAGACAAGAAAGAAAAAGAGAAAACACAGAGGAGAGGAAGAAAGGCAAGAAGAAAAACGGGATAGGAAAGAAAAAAGTGAAGCAGCAGAAAACAGACAGAGAGAGAAAAATAGGAAAAGGGAGCAAAAGAGAAAAAAGACAGAGAGAGAGAGAAAACAGAGAGAGGGAGAGATACTCATTCAGCAGAGATATCAACCAGACCCATTGTCTCTGTATTGATCTACTCCACTCTCATCTGGGCTTGTGATACTTTGCGCACATGTCTCTGTGTGTGTTGGAGTGCGCAACTAGAGTGTGCGGCTGCAATTGTGCTCACATACATAAAGACATTTTTCCCTTCCACCAACCACACAAATCTTGGCTTCAAATTTATAAATCGAAAATCAAACATGATCATTATCAAAAAGTCATGAGAAAGCTTGAGCATAAGAAAAGATCTGCTTTGAAACACATCACTGTGCTGTTGCTAACACAACTAACATGCAGACCACAAAATTTGCTTATAAATCAGGAAAACTTGTTCACTTCACTTTAGAATCAGTGCTGTATAACATTAGTTACTGTTACATATATTTGCTCCAAAGGGTGTTACAACAGTTTCCTCAAACAACCGCAAGTTTCCCTCCGTAATACTGCACTAAATTGTGGTATTTTACATATAACAACACAGTAAACATAATACTACTGCACAATGGTCCAACCAACATGACCGTAGCAACCAACATCCCTCAAGAACTCACACTCACTATGTCACAACACCCTGCTGTCTTTATTATGAGGCAGAATGAGCTTAGTTTTACGTCTGTACACTGAGGCAGGGCTTGTAATGATAATGCTGAGAATACTTCACCTATATTAAAATGTTACTGGTTGAGTGTGAAAATATGCATGTTAATTTTAACCTTGGAAACAGTAGCTTGTCAAAATAAACTTACTAGCTTTTTTTACCAGAGCTTTCAACCACGACTCACTTACATATTTAACACGATGACAGCTGAGCAAACTCCATGATCCATGATTTAGACCATAGGATGCAACTGAACAGCTTGGATTACGATTTTCTTAGTAAATCAGGCTGGTGTCCAAGGCAACACAGTCTATCACCTTTGCGCATTATTTCAGACTTAACTTGTCACACGTGTAGAACCATAACCGTTTGCTTGGAATAATTCCTTTGGATAAAAGAAATGTGCAAAAATTACAACATGATAATATGGCTGCATGTAGGGATGCTTCAATTTATTGGCTAAACACTGGCATCAGCCATCGGCAAATAAGATGACATTCACCTACAGCAATGGCCGGAGTTTTTCTGTTGTATCTAATCGACTTCATGCTTGCTAAAAAGCAAGGCTTGAAACCATAGCATCCCGCCTTCCCAGAGATCGGAATGTGGCCGAGGAATCACAGGAGCTGCAGTTTTTATTGAGAAGGTAAAATGTGTTACGAGCCATTATAAATGAAGCATTGTGGTGCTACAGAGATGCCCCAGCCAACAAATCATATTCCAGATGTAAGGGAACATGCTTGTTTGGGACAGACTCCAGCAAATATATCATCATCATTTTAGTAGTTACAACTCCCCGGCTCATCCCAATCCCAATATC